GTTTTTAAATAAATAGTGGATTTTTTTTTCATTTTACGCGTTTGTCCATCAAAAAGCTAAATATTTGATAAATTTATTTAAATAACAACGAGTTTTGGGTTTACATCACGAGTAATTTAGTGAATTTTATTTGTCAATTCAAAATCATGTCAAATCAAAAAATGAACTTTAAATCTTGGACAAAGGAAAAAAAAAAAATAATCAGATGATCATGTCAAAAAAAAAATTATCGTACAAAGGAAATCGCCAAATTTCTTTATTTGATTGGATCTTCAATCTACATAATGTATTTTCTAAATTCGAATTCCTAATTTTGGTCATGCTTTTTTCTTTTCGAGAAAAATTCCATCGAGACCACGCGTCTTTTGCGCGGAAGAAAAAGACGAACCAGTTCGGTAGTATCTGCGCTTCAATCGGAATGGGCGGATAAACCATTCCTGCGATGATGAATCACACGATACATCATCCATCTAGGAGATGAATGAGAACATTCCATAAACGGAATCTTTTATTCTTTTTATCATGACCTTTTTTGTTATATTTTTGTTGTTATGCATTAGAAAGCATCTTGGAAATGAAGATAAAAGATTACCTTGTTACATCCTGTAAACTGCGTCACATCACAAACCCATATCCAGTCGTTAAAAAGATTATTCCATTAATGATCACCGCAGCATTATTTTTAATCAGCCTAACCAAACAGATGAACGTTACCTAACATTAATTATAAAAAAAAAAGATTGATGTTTTACTTTTTCTTTTTCTTTCCTTTTTTTTTTTATAAAAAACACACACATTGCCGCACGGAACTTTATATCCCGGATTAATGCTAAAAATAAGTTATGTAATATCTCTTTTTTTAAAAAAAAATAAAATAAAATAAAAATAAGAAACCAGATTAAGCTTGAATAAAAAAAAAAACGAAAATCTGAGAAAAACAAGTAAAAAAAAAAAATATTTATTAACATTTAAGTTTTTCTTGTGAAACAAATAAATTTGATATGATAAATTTTAATCAATCTCGAAACTAAAAAGTTATGGGGTGCACACACCACCAGCTCATATATTCTTTTTACTGCACATCAACCGGTAAACTCCTTGTCTTCGAATTTTTTTTTTCCCAATAGTTTTACTATAAAGTCACCCCAACAGAAGTTGTTAGATGGTCATGTGTTTGGTATACTCTGAGCCTTCCCTGAGTCAATATATCAATATTTTGACAACAAACATCAACACAGACTGCTACACAAATAAATGCGCGCCAAGATATAATCCCAAAAACTGGTTTATCAATTTCAGATAATTAAGACTACAAAAAAATATATATATTATTTGATCGAACGAGAAAGAGTTAATGATCATTAAACCTTAAACTTCCTTCTTTCTTATTTCTTCTTAAAAACTTTTTGGCTGAGAAGGTTGTGAAAGCGAGCACAAAATCAAAACAAAGAGGCAGATCATTAATTAATTTTGGTTGAGCGAAAAATAATTTTTTGGGGGGATGTTTGTGTATTGTAAGAATCTTCTAGTGTAGTATTTTTCATTTAGGTTTTAAAAAAAATTTTGGGGGAGGCGTTATTTTAACATAGCCTCAATATTTCTTTTAAGAATGCGTTTTACGTCACGGGTTGTGATTGAACTAGGCATAAATTGGAAAACAAAATTGAAAATGGTTAGCGATTAAAAAAATTCCGGTCGTTGTTCACATTGCACCCTTCAAAACATTTTTAAAACAAAGAAAGATAGAAGTTTGGTGATAGATCACGTGAACGTTGATGATGTAGTTGATTATAAATTTTGTTTATTTCTTCTTTGGTAATTTTGATAATGAATAAATATACGCAGATCACTCCACTTTTACCCCATGTCAATCTCATCTTACAAACGGCTCGGGCCAAGTATTTTTCAAAATATTCAAAAATTTTTTTTTTTTTTCCTCGGTATCCTTGTTCTTTGTTTGCTAAAAGCTTGGGATAAATGGGATTTCCCTAATGCAAAATAATGCGACGCACAATGGCACAATTAAATGCATGTTGGCTAAAGCTCATATTTATTTCAATTCTTTTTTTGCCGACATACATATAAGAATTTTCGGGTATTCGGCATCTTGCATCTTGTAAAGGAAATATCCTTATGACTAATGATACGTCAAAAATACGTAAATACGTAACATTCGATTGTTGATATGAAAATTTTAAATGGACTGATTAAGTTAATCCCAACCAGATCAAATGACTTCCCAAATTAATAAATAATAAGTGGGATGACACAAATGACGCATCTTTTAGGTGGTTTTGGGTAATTTTTATACAAAAGCGGGTTCATTCACGTATTTTGCGGGTTGTGTGATTTGTGACAATAAATTTAAGTCACAAGGATTATGTGATTTTTACATGATTATAAAAAAAAATTTTTTTTTCCCCACTTCATTTAAATACGCTAATTAGGAAAATGAAAATCGAACTTAACGAGAAGGCTCAAAATGCTTTCGGTGGTATACGTGGGATTGTAAAGGTAATTAATTTTACTTGGCTTCGATAAGGGATTAAATCATGACATGATCCTTTTAACCAAATTATTGTTTGGGGTGATCAAAAAAAAAAAAAAAAGAATAGACCGTTATAAAGAATGCAAATGCCAACGAGGTGAGAATTGGTTCAATGGGTACCTGTGATTTATTTTTCTTTACCTTTCCTTTCTTTTTAATTAAAATGTTTAATTAAAGGAAATAACGAAAACCGCAAAATTATTTGCGAATCTTGACGTATCGATGAAATCGACTCATCAGGTAAAAAGGAATTTATTTATATGTTCCATTCAAAACAACTCTTTATTAACATTTTATTTAATTTAATACATCAAGTCCTTGGAGAAGCTCACTTATGGAATAACCCAATTACAAGAAAGGTAAGCAAGCATATCTGTCAGAACTTTTCGAGATGAATTTAATGATTATTTTTAACTTAGGAATAATCAAATGTTGGGAGCTTTGCATGTTATTCCGCAGATTAGTGACGGATTAAAAGTTGAAGACTTGATCAAGTGTCCACCTACTTGATTATTTAATTATTAAAACTACAAGATTCATTCTTTAAAAGATTTTGGGATAAATGATGTATTTTTAAAAATCGAATGATCTATTTTATTTTGTTTTATCTTTGTCAAAAATAAATTGCATTCACGACGCGGATTCGAATTCGAATAATTTTTTTTTTTCAAACTTACCAAACTAAAATCGTTGGAAAATTTATTAACTTGTAAAGAACAATTTACTTTCAAATAATTTATTTATGGTAAATAATAGTCATTATAATACTAATTCAACTTATCATGGATATAATAAGAATTGTTATAATTAAATTTTTTAACTTCAACAGAATAAAAAAATTATAAAACTATATTTCCTAATTTTCCTACGAAAAGATGTGTTTGGAAATTTTATAGCACTTTATAATCAGATTTTAGTATATATCATATATACCAAATCGTCAAAGTTCCAATAATGCAAAACGATAATAACCCTTTATAGGAAAAACTCCTCAAAAAGCATCTTTATTGCATTATTAATTTAGCATACTTATGACTCGAACCAAACAATAGATGGCTATTTTTAAAAAATAAATGCCTTTCGAGAAATAGATTCTCAGTGATTTTAGATCTTAAGGAAAGGAAGTATGCTTTTGAGAATAAAAAAAAAATTTTTTTCATGCTTAAATAATTATTAGATCCTTCAAAATTTGCAATCAATTTAAATATTTTATTAAATTAATTTGAATAGTTTATTTTTAAATTATAGTTTTTTTTAATCAATATTATTTTAATTAAAAATTAAGTTTTTTTTTAAAGAAAATAATTATAACTAATTATATTTTAACAATATATTCTATTTTTTTTAATTAAAATTTCTATGAATAAAAATTTATTTATAGGTAATTTTATAAATGGGAAGTTTGCTAGGAAAATGGGGTTCTGAGACATTTTTTAAAAAA